TTTGTGTCTACTGAGAAAGAAAAAGTTCTAGCCAAGGTCCTACTGCCAGGAGTGGAAAAAGTGACAGAGCAAAATATGCATTTACCACAGGTGGTTGGTTTAAACATGTGAGAGATCAGGGACCACTGTCCAGGGCTACACCTTCATTGCCTTGGTTTTCTTTCCTGTTGGCAATCAGCTCACTGCTGTTTGCTCACTTTAATGGCTTTTCTCTCTTTTTTTTTTAAATCCTGTTTAGCAAATCTATATCTGTAACCACTACAGTGGGTGTGAAGAACATGGGGCTGCTTTGTAAAACACAGGTTTTACAAAGTGCCATTTTTAGTGCCTCTTCTTTTATAGTTGAGCATATTATAGACTGTATAATTCACTGTGGCCTATTTATTATCCATAATATTCTCACAATAAGTTAATTACAACCCTAAGGTAATGGTGAATTTGTTCACCTCTCTGCAAAACAGCAGAAAATAACTGATGGTGATCAGGAAATCTGTCCTTGGAGGATGGGTAATTCATGCTGTGTACTCAGGAGGAATTCTTTCAAAGGCCTCTGCTCCAGTCTTTCACACCAGAAGACAATCTTCCCTCCACCTCTTTGTGTCATTTCAGCTGTGCCAGATCTTCTCCAATAACACTTTTGCAAGACTATTACTGCTATCCAAGGCACTAGTTTTTGTCTTCCAGGTTTTAAGTAATTTCAGGTCAAGTAGTAGTACCACTAAAACAAAACAAAAAAACCCCACTACAATGCTGGTGCAAGTATTGATTTGGAAAAAAAGATTCTCCTTTTTATCACCATGTATATATATCATCAGACCTGATTTTCTCATCCCAGCCTCCCTTTATGTTAAAAACTCCTACCTTTTGTCCATGTGCTTTCAAAACAACAAATATTGTCCTATTATAAAAATAGTATTTCGAGGCTATGTGTATCATATGTTCAGAGCACTTCTTTTTCCCAGCATCAGGAAAGAAAAAATTCACCAAGAATACCTATTTTAATTTTCAGAAAGGTATAATAGCTCCACTGCTCTCACTGCAGCATCCTGTGTGCTGCTATGTTGTAACTGCAATGAAAAGGTTGTCAAGGTTCTCCAGCCTTTAAGAATTGTACAGGATTTAAACTCATACACAGTTTGTAATGGGGCTAAGCCCAATTTCCAGAGTTTTGAGTTAAAACTCAAGGGTGCTCATGTATCCTAAGGCACAGTGTGCTTTCCAGGCAGAGTTCTGATATTACAACATTACTGATTTATTTTGTTGTTATTCCAATACAAACACAACTATTCTGCCCGGAACCCATTTTCTAATGGCCTTCATGGGCTTCAGAAAGTTTCTAAATTTTTTGAAAGATGGCTTATCACTTTGGCTTATCACTTATTTTTCTGTGGCTCAGACATGGCTATTTCCCTTTCTTGTGAACACACTGTAAGGATGGATTTTTGAGGGTCAAAATATGTCTTTGAATTTCTCTAGACCTGAGGAAGACTTTAAGTCTCTTACTGAAGTTGCAGGAGGACCCAGATATTTAAGTACAGTTGAGGTAGTAGTGGTGTAAAGAAGAGCAGGGAGGGGATTTTGGGGATCCAGCTCCTTTCAAGGTGTGAGTGGTGATAGTTTGACTCACACTCCTATGGCTGATTACAAATTAGAGCATGCAAAATATTGCTACCATGGGGATATTTGCAGTATTTGCTCTAAATTGTAGCTGCTAAGGACATGCCTGCTTCCTCTTTTCTCTATCTGTGCATGGTTAGGCTGGTCTGAGAGAGGACTAAAAAGATACAAATAAGAGATTGGGAGCTTAGGTTGAATAATTGGAAAATTGTTAAAGAAATGTTAAGTTCCTAAACTTGAATTATTTACAGTCACACTGGGTATGGCACTGGTAGATACAGCTGAAAGAAGGATGCAGGCAAATTTTAATTTATGATTCTGAGCCTAGAATGCCTCTAATGCGTATTTTAGGATGTTTTTAGCTCTGAACATGTGAAATAAGACAAAAATAGTTTATTCCCCGTTTATATGCAAACCTATTAATATATCCAAAGTAAGCCTGTAGAGAAAGGCAAACCCCTGATCTGGGAACAGTGTCTGCACTGAAGCCTGTTTTGGTGTATTTGAGCCAATCTCTCTGCTGGGTTTCCAGTGGGCTGTGCAACACCTACACCAATGTGCCAGGCATAACTCTCATGGTTGCCCCAGGATCTGATGTTCCAGAGCCTGGCCTTGGTGTGCTGTGCTGTTCAGCTCAAATATGCATTTCCTCCTCTGTTTCCAGAGCTTTGTCTCAGATGATGCCTTAAGGTCATGTTATCTTCCCCATGGGATGGGTCTGGAGCATGAGTCAGGAATGTAAACTGAGGTTTTAACCAGCAGCACTTTAAGTAAAGGAATGGAAGAGCAGCTGCTGGAGTTGGAATAGCTTGGGAAGCACCAGTCCTCCACACTTTGCATGGCTTGTGCATGATTCACTGTGTGACTGCTCATCAGGCCAGCTCCTGAAGCATCCTGTTGAAGCATCCCCCAAGAGGGCTGTCAAGAGACACTGCTGGGCCTTTTGTCCCTCAAGAATAAAGCTAGCAAAATGTTGATGCTCCTGTCAGGCTGGAACCTAGAGGACTGAGCATGGTAATAAACAAAAAACCAAACAAATAGGCAGCCTGACTGCCCTTGGCTTTCATGGGCTGCCTTTGGAGCATGGACTGCCAGGCTGAAGAACAGCCAGGGGAGGGCTGGGCTTCTTGTGTGTGGCCTTTGGTGGTGCTAGCCCATTTCACCTGAAGTTCTTTTATGGGCCCAGAAGGGGAGATTGAGCCTCTCTTAGTAGATAGCATGTTCTTTCTCAAAAGAAATACCACAAAAAAAAGACAAATAAGCCCAAACCCTGTGACCATGCACAATATAATGCAATTGTTTTACATAGTTTAATTCTATTTAGGAAAAGAGGGAGAATAAAAAGCACTAATGTTTAGGAGCAGTGACAGTAGAAAATAAGGTAGGAGGATGAATTGAGGAAAGGAATGACTAATTCTCTGGTAATGTCTATAATTTACTACACAATTATCTGTACTATTTAAGAGTTTCTTCTAAAACAATTCTGTGAATGGTTGTACTGGGTTGTGCTTAAGACGCAAGACAAGAGGACCTGGGATAAGTTTATTGTCGGCCAAAGACTCTGGGCACTGCTCAGCATGTTTAAATTCAAGGTTTCCAATCTTGTCTCAGGAAGAGAGCAAGTGGAAATGTTCTATTTCCCAGGTCCAAGACTATGGTGAGGATGATTTAATTATTTTTGAGATCTCCAGTGGCCCATGGTGAAGTTTACTGAAAAATACCTATTAAAGAGAGGTGAAAACAGCAGATTCTGGGTGGTCAGCAAAACTGGACAAAGAAATTATTGCAGGAGGCCTCTATTGCCAGCAGGAGCATTACACAGCTTACCTTCAGTAACACTGTGCTGTTGTAGGAAAGTCTAAGTCTCCATATCTAGATTTAATTTAAAAACGAGTTTGCCCTTTTGAAGGAAGAGCTGAGGCTTAAAAATACATTTGCTGTGTCCCAGCCAAGTAGGTTCACTAACAACAAAAAGACCAAAGACAGGTTTTTTGCATTAGAGAGAGCACTTTATTATTTCTCTGCTTTGTTTTCTTTGGAGTCCTGCTGAAATGTTTTTGATTGCATACAAGTAGGTGATCAGTTGTAATAAGGTGTGTCTCATGTTTCTCATGTTGCTGCCAGGTCTGAGATAATTCTTAGTGACTTTAGAACACTGCTTTGATTTTAAAGGGGCACTATCATAGATTCATTTCAGTTGAAAAAGACCTTTAAAATCACTGCATCAATGGAAACAACCCCAAAACTGCATTTCCTTTTTAAGGACATCTTACTGAGAGGTATACATATATTTAAGAGTACCCAACACCATTGCTTGTTTTGTTTCTTAAATAGCATGTGAGTTTAATAAGACTAAATGCATGAGCATTTCTAAAAGCTCTTCTTGATTTTTTAGAATGCAATTCTTCATTCCTATTCTAGTCTGTATTCAGGTTTACTCCTTCTTTATTAATTTTGCCTGCCACTTCTTTTGGGCGATAAAAAGAGACTTGTCCAGGTTTGCTGGTATTCATTCTTTCATGGCACAAGCAGAGTAACTTGGGTTAACAAGTTAGAAGAGAAAGTTGGATTTTAACTGTCTGTTTTCTATCATATTTGAAAAAGTTATAAAAACAATTCCCTCAACATGCGGTGCTGTAAGTTCCCTTTCCCCATGTTGTTTTTGGACCTGCAGTATTTTGAATATGACATCCTACAAAGAATAATAGTATTTTTAAAACCTCCTACTGGAGTGCATTTGATTTGAGTTATTCAAAGCAAATGTGGAGGGCTAACAGCGCTCTGAAAAGGATCAGTGACAGGAAAGCAGCATTGTTTGCTTCCATCCCTGGGGCACATTGTGTCCTGTGTGCACGTGTGGGACTTTCTGGGACTCTTTGGAGAACTCTGGGCATCTGCCAGCAGAATTTAGCTTCCAGATATCCAGAAATATGTTTGGACATGGTGCAGTGGTACAACCCACTGGTTCTAAATTTCTGGTAGGAGCCAGACCTTTAGCCAGGAGTGTTGACATGAAGAGGTGTGGTGACCTTCCCTGTGAGCCCCCTACTCCAAGGATTTTGCATCTCCTTCTGGACAAGAGCAGCTATTCAGCAGTGAGGGTACAGGATGGGCTCTGTTGGAGCAGCAGGGCTTGTAAATACACATGACAAAACATCCATATTGCCATAAAGGTAGCTCACCTCCCCTGATTTCAGAAGAGTAATGCCAGATCACATCTGCTGATAACCCAATATTTATATAAGAATTTCCTACTGGTTTAATGGACAATCTAACACCTTGGGGTTTTTTTTTTTTTTTTTTTTTTTTTTTTTTTTTATTTTTTGGTTTTTTTTTTTTGGTTTTTTTTTTGAGAAAAATCTGACTTGCTAAATGTAGCAGAAGGGGTTTTATTTTTAAGTGCTTCTTTAGCATCTCTAGCATCATATAATGAAAACCTGAGCCTTCAGGTCCTCCTGAGTTTTTTTCCCCTCCTGTCACCTATTCCACATGTGCAGGCATAGTCCCAAAGTTATCACATTGCATATAATTGCTGTAGGGAGGATGATCATTTCGAGTAAGAGAATATGAAGCAGGATCAGGTGAATTCCTTAATCAGCACAGAGCCCAGCCTCTTGTGTGTGTCTGTTATTTCAAAAGTAAAGGCAAGACTCCACTCCCTTTATTGTATATAGGTTATCAACAGAATTGTTTTGAAATTGCAATTTTCTTAAAATAATCATTGAAACATCCACAAATAATTTCTCCACCAATTAGCGAAGAATGATGTGGTTAAGTTCAGCCCAAAGTGTCTGAAACATAGTGCCTTAAACCTAGTGGTTCTGGTTAAAATCCTTTCTGAACACAGTTGTAAAATGCAACAGCCACATGAGGGAGGATGAGAGGAGCAAGGGATGGTAAAATCTACGTGAAATCAGTTTTGCTGCTGTTGCTGATGAAATCTCAAAGGAAAGAGGTTTAAGAATCAGTGAGTCCATGAAAACAAGCAATACAAAAATAGTAATTTTAACTTCATTGGTGCTTTTATAATTCATGTAGTGAAACAGCTTCTTGTGCATACTCATAGAGTCACTCATAGAGTCTGGAGATTCTTATTTAGCTGTATGAAGAAACAAAAGAGTGAAAAACAACTAAGTTCTAAGCAGTGCACTTGATGCTTACCCACTGTAAAAAACTTCTGGTATAAAATAGTCTGAAAAGAATTTGCTTCCAACCAGCATTTCAAACTCCTCTGTATGGAACAAAGGCAGTCATCTGGAGCTCTAACAAGTGGTAAACGTGGATGAAACTTCACCTCAGACATTCTGGAGAATGCATCTTTGGTTATTCTTGTATTGACATTTGTATAGATGTTGATGTACCGATGTTGTCAGTGATAACGAGTGTGATTAGGATTAAAAACTCAAAAAAGCTACTCTCTGGCCACTCGAGTCTTTCTAGAAAACCAGCCCTTTTTTCCTGAGATACTTTGTGGTTCGTGATGGTGACACCAACCCTGTGAAGATGGTTACACTGGCTGTTGTATGGACTCTGTCTTCCCTGGTGCTGTTCTCTGATTCAATCTTTCAGTGAGTTGTAGGCTTTTGTGGTCCGGCTGTTGATGAAATCTGCCTTCTTGAAGTCGGCCTTTGGAATAGACAGAAACAGAAGAAACAGGACAGTTCATTATCTTCAGTGCGATTCTGCAAGGCAAAGCTGGGTCCAGCTGCCCAAAAGCTGAATAAGGAGCCATGGTGGGGGTCTAGGCAGAGTCCTGGGCAGCCACCGAGACAGAACAGGCTCATTTAGTCCAGGGTAGATAAGAGGATAATTGGAATTGCTGAACTCTCTCCACTGACTGTACCAGAAGCCTGTTCTTCCAGCTCAGCTCTACAGACTCCTAACTTTTAGATGACTTAATAGCTGAGATTAACCTAGTTGAGATTAATCTAGCTGAGATTAACCTGTCAGAACAAAGAACACAGGGCAATGCCAAAATGACTCACAATGTTATCAATTTTATATGATCAAGTGGTTTCTGTGGCTTATTAGGCTAAAGTTTCAAAAATGTCTGGCCATTAGGTGGTTCTGAAGGTTTCAGTGCCATACCTGGTGTCTCTAGGGGACCAAATTTGCATAGGAAGAGCAGATAATCGGCATTTTTGAAAACAGGTCTGACAAATGTGTCCTATAGACTTTTCTAAACTACCAGTAAATTCATAGAATTCATGCCATCAGGGATATTGCTGTATGGTGAATTCAGGAATGCAGTAGTAAAAAACACCAGAGACAACTAGTTAAGAATTTATATGGCACAATAGCCTTATTCTGGAACACAGATTTTGGGTTTATGGGGCAGTACTGCTAAGTGTGATGCAACACTGGTAAAGTTTATGCTAAGAAAGTTTTTTGGAGCAAATTTCAACCAAAAAAAAAAATCTACAAAGAGAAACAGCTGAATAATAAATGCTAACAGTTTGCTTGAGAACTTGGAACAGTTTTAGGTTATAGGGAATTTGAAGTGACAAATTCTGAACAGCAAACACACAAGGACTGAAAACAATTTGAGATACAGGGTGAAGTAAGTAGGTGGAAGTTATCACAGCTGTGGGTTGAAAAAGCAGGCACAGAGCTGCAGAAGAAACAAACTGGTTTGTGGCAGACTCATGCTGGTCATTTTTTGTTTGATCTGACTATGGCAGTAAATGTTTGCCAACACCTTTCCCAGGGCCTAGGTTTTGTCTGACTAGAGCTGACAGCTGGGGTAGCAGGCTGTGCAAACAAGGAGAACAGAGGTGCTCTGGTTTTGAAGCAGGAAGCTGCCTTGCCCTGCCCTTGTTTTTGCTGCCACTGTGGTTCCTCTGTGCCAGGCTGGTTCAGCCAGTGTGGATGGGCACCTACTCTGCATCCCTTCCCACCACCTGGCTCTTCTGGCAGTCAGCAGCAATGCTTTTGACAAGCTTTGCCAGTGGATTTAAAACCACAGTGGGAGAGAACATGAGCACAGAGAACCAAAAATTAAGGCCATGTCTTACTTACACAGGCTTATCTACATGTAATAAGAAAACCAAATTCAGGGACCGCTTAAATCCTATAATAGGTTGATTGTTAAATGTATAGGAGTGCTAAGGGCCCCAGAGGACAAATGAAAGGTTTGGCATCTCGAGGAACAGATTATTTTTCTTGTGCTTACCTTTTTGTAGGCACTGTGGAGATCAGTGTGTGACCACAGGGAGTAGAGGAGGACTGAAGCAGCCCTGCTGGCTTTGCTGAACATATTGCTGCCATTTTGCAAGAATGATAAAACATATTTAAATTCCCACATCATAATCATGGTGCATGCACAGACCTCAGCAAACATAACCTCACAGCATTTGTTTTATCTCTTTAAGTGCTGGTATTGTAGCATGTTTCAGGCTGTCCTTATTACTGAAACAAATGAAACTTGACTCCATGCTCCATTCATTCTGCAAATTTAGGGAGAAATCAGGTGCTCTGTATCCTACATCTAACAGCAGCTATCATATTGTGCATTTTCAGCTGAGGAAAATAACCTCAGCACAACAACCATTCGAAAGAATCTTTCCAGTATGTAAAATCTCATGTTAGACAGGATTTAAACTATTCAGGTCCTCATGAAGCCTCCTGTACTGAGATTGATTTCCTCTTTCATTTTGTAGAGAGAGCAAGGCAAACAGAATAATTATTCGTATTTTTAAAACATTAATTATCTTTGGAGTAAATATTGATTGCACTTGTTTACATATTAAAGAAGAACTAATTTCTGTTCTTTAAAATTCCAACATATTATTTTAAAAATTTATTATTATTATTATTAAAATCTGTTCCCTAAAATGCCAGCATGTTATTTTTACGTACAGATCTACAAGTTCTGCAAAGTGTATCCCTGCACTTTATTGCTAAAGTTTATCAGGGCTGTGTTACAATGAACAGGAAAGACATTTTGGGTACAGATGAGATCTGATGATCACTACATATGTATCAGAATACAGATAATGTGGTGCAGTTTTCTTCTGAGGAGTTATTTAAAATGCTGGGACCTGGTGAGTTTAGCTATGGATGGGAGAGTTGTCTCAAGAAATCTTTCTGTATTTTCCCATCGGTGCAATTCCATTCCATCCTTGTTTGGGCTGTCCTGTACCTTGAGACGAAGCGTTTTTCCCACCGAGCGGCAGCGGCTGCAGTTTATTTTTTGCCTGGGGGAGGAGGGAGGCTGGTGGAGGCCTTACCTGTCATTCATGCTGATGGCAATGACCTTGGGCAGGCCCTGGGCGCTGAGGAGCAGCCGGGCGTTGTGCGAGCTGCGCTGGGTCAGGTTGAACAGGGTGTAGCAGATGGACGCCGTGGTGTCACAGGCAGCCTCGCAGCCTGGCACACACTCGGGCAGGGCTGACACCAAATCGGGCAGAACTTCTCTGGCTGCAAGGGGCAAGAGAGACAAGCAGTTCCATTACTAACAGGAGCAGATTTGCCTCATTCCTCCCGTTTTCCCTCAGCAGGGAGCTGTATGCTCCCACCAGGCAATCATGCCTTCCTACCTGCACTGCATCCACCACACTGCACAGGACAGCCTGCAGCTTGCCTCATGCACAGCCCATGAGTAGCTCATGTGCTGGACTAACTCACCAGCTGCAGGTTCCCACTTCCCTCTTAGAGATGTTTTATATTAAATTTAGGTTCATTTTGCTTGGTAAGTTTGGATAAATGTAGGTTCATTTTGTTTGATAAATTCAGACCCTTATAATCTAGAAAAGAATGTGCCCACTCAAATGTTTTCCTTTGGCGAAAGCTTTTCTTTTTGGCATTTGACCTGAATTCACACATGCTTTCAATCAAAAACAACATCTTTTGATAGAGAAAATGTTCACCTGAAATTTCCCCAGTCCTCTCTGTTATGGGTAGAGCAAAGAAACAACTGTGAATGTGCAAGATGAAGCACTCGCCCCCAAAGCTTTGTGCTATTCTGTCTTTCCCTCACTCTCATAAATTATGTTTTCCTGATGACATCCCAACTTCTTATCAATTTAATTGCTTCCCTTTCAGGGGGATTCAACATCTGTAATTGCCAACACTATATGAATTATCCATTTGAAATGAGCCCAACAATGTTATAATATTTTCATTAATAGGGAATGTTCTTTAGGGCTCAAACAAGGCCCAGGAGACTGTTCTGCAGAATTCTCGAGGTTCATCTGCCCCATGAGATTTCCCCTTTTCCCCTTAGTGGGAACACAAAAAAGGACAACAAATTGTATGAATACATTTTATCCTGTCAGTAGGAAAAAGTCTTAAATACACAATAAATTGAAATAAGAATACTCAGAATAGAAATGGCTTTTATTTAGAAATTAGATAATTTAAAAATAATTAACTATTTTTTCAATAGCATCTTATAGCTTCCATTCTCAAAAAAATTTGCAGGAAAACTGTGTGGGCTGCAAACTTCTAAAGCTTTGTGTCTAAAAAGAGAGAGTCTGATCTTTGCTAGAAGAATTAGAGATGTTCTGTGATTTCTTGCAAAGCATTATGCACCTGTGGCAGCACAGAACTCAGCAATCTTTGAACAGAAGAAAAACTCCCTCTCCAAATCTGTGTAGAATGTACTTCAATGATGTATTTTTGAAAGTAACAACAATGGAAGTATCTGAAGAGGAATACCCAATATAGTGAAAACTTTGTTTAGGCAAAACTCTTTATTTTAAGCCCTGTACAGAGACTGCAAGTATCCAGTGAAAAACCTACTCACAGATATTTTTTTTTCACACATTTCTTTTTTTCAAAGCAGGAAACTTTGATGTGAAGAGAGCAGAGCAAGCTGTCAGTGTTTGCTCACCTATGTCGTTTTGCAGGGAGGTGTTTCGGGACAGGTTCCTGAGCAGTGAGACCGCTGTCCTCTTCACCGCGGGGTGGCTGACGTGCAGCATAGCTCGGATGCCTGGCAGCCCGTTCGCCTTTTGAACAACAGTCCGGGCCACTGCAAATGGCATCTGTGGAAAGGCACTTCTGTGTCATTGCCACGAGTGCAGAGCCTCAGAAAAAGCCACACACAGCCAGCTCTCTGCAGCAGTTTAAGCATATTTCAAATAGTTTTAAGCCAGAGTTACATATGAGTTGCAACAGGAAAGGGAGGTGATAAAAAAGAAGTTGCAAGCCCTCTTTCTCCCAGGTGCTCTTTGGTTAGTTCCTCAGACAGACATCATTAGTTTCCTTAACACAAATGTGATCTGCTGTTGTGTCAGAGCCCTCCTCTCTCCACAGGACTGTCTTCCACAAAATGAGTTTTTTATTGCTTTTAACATCTGCTCATCCCTCACTGTGTAATGAATTAGCAAACTCCACACATGGAGATGCACATAGAGGGAGAAGAAGAAGACCCCACTATCTGCTAAGCAAGGAAAAGCAGCACTGCTGGTTACGACTTTCCCTTCAATGTTCATTTTCCTTCACCATGTCAGTGAGCCAGTGACTTGTCAGTGCTTATTTGAGCTCAGCTGCACTGCAGCCCTGAACTCAATGCATTCACATCAAGAACTAAGTGAAAAGAAAAGGAAAAAAGCTGACTTACTGGTCCATTGCCAGCTGTGAGGTTCTGGAGAGCTCCCAGGGATGCCTCTTGGGTGTAGTTTCTGGTACTCTTTGCTATTAAGGAGAGGTATATCCTAATCAGTGTAGAATGCCAGAGCGATTCAACACCTTTGGGATTGCTCTTTTCCTCAGGAAGCGGGGTGTCCTGCTGCTTCTAAACATGTCAACAGATCAAGCCTTTAGAAACAGTGACCTCTGTAGCTTAATGCACCACAAGATGAACTAGCCATTTTGTAACTCTGCATGACCGGGTTATTTAGAGGCTGTCCAGTTCTGAGCTCAAATAATAATGTGCAAAATTTCAGTATTTCATGATAGTGGCCAGTCCATCCAGTGGAGTATTCCTCAACTATTAAAACATTTGCTATGTCAGTGCCATCAGCAGCAGCTGAACAAGAGAATTGGTGTCAAGAAGGACTACCAATAAATTTGCATTTTTGGGGCAAGGAAATGTCACTCTACCAGATACATCAGTAACAGATCGTTAATTAGATTAAAGCCTTATTCTTTAGAGGTTGCTACAAGTTAATAACCAAATTAGATGTAACAGTTCATGTACTTTACCTCTTTTACTTTTCTGCTCCGTGTTCCAAAACAGCCTGGTGTTTTATCATTGTTAGAAATATTTCTTCTTTGCACATATATGCTCTGGGCATAGCTCTCAGGGAGCTCTAGCTCTAGCTGGTAGGAAAGATTGTGAAGAATACACACACAGTTCTCTGTGGCCTAAAATAACAAAAGAATAGAAATTAAAAGCTGTGGCATGTGTTGAAGGGACATGTACAGACATGGGAAGAGATTTAGTTTTTGCATCTTCAGTAAGTGACTGCAGAGTTTCTGATGCCTGATGGAAGAGCCAGGCTTCATGCCAGTGATCCACCAGCCTGCCTTTACACTGAGAAATGGAACATGCCCTGGGATGTTCCTGAGCCCAGCGGGCAGCTGGCACACAGGATGCATTGGGAGTGGGGTGCATGCCTGCTGGAAACACTCCTGGGACATAAGAGCTCCTCCTGAACATAAGAGCTCCTGAACTGTGCCTGGGAATTGTTTGGGCGAGTGCTGCTTGACACAGAAGTGTGCCAAGAAATGTTTAAGGGCTTAGGAGTAAAGATGGTCATGTACACACCTCACCATAGCATCAGCAAGAGGAAAGCTTTTTATCTTCCCCAAGGGGGAAGCATTTTTCTGTGGTGGAATGCTTTTTAAAATAAAACATTCCTTCCTGAACGTGGCTAAGGTCAGGTCTGCAATTTCTCAGTGATGAGTCTAGTGGCAAATAGCTTTGTTACCAGTTGCTCCTCTTTTGAAAGTCAAAAAGGATCGAGTGGTTTTAAGACAAAGTGCAGCAGGGAGCTATTGGCACACGTGTAATGTGCTTGGATTCTCCCTGAAGCTAATGGCACTGGATACAAGGAGATGAGGAAGCTCAAGGAACTAATCCTAGAACAGAGCTATAGATGTGCAGTAATTACCACTACACAGCACAAGTTATGGCAGACCCACCAAAAGTGCCTTACAGGCTGCAGCTAATGCCAGTGACAGCTGTTCTTCTCACCCAGCTTCACCCAGCTGAAAGACAAGCCTCTGCTCCAAGAACCTGTGTTCAGGGTTCGCCTGCACTCAGTGAGGGGAGAAAGAGTGGGAGAAACTGGCAGCTGGAGGTATCCACTGGCTTCAGCTTAGGCAACAAGGAAAAAAAGTGCAGCTTTTTTTTTCCCTGAAATAACTTAGGGAAATTATTTCTATTCTAAAAGATGTAAGATCCTTAATCACACTGCCACCCAAAGGGATTTAGGTTCTTCATTTCCTAAGGGATATGTAACATTAAATATATAGGAGAGTAGCATTAAATACATAGGAGAGTAACCAGATTTATTTTTTAAGCTTCTAGCTAGCTGAGACAACCAAAAAGGCAACATCTGACTCTTCTGTGTTTCAGCATTTCTGAAAGCTGTGATTTTATCTCACAAAAAAAAAAAAATTAAAAAAAAAAAAAAAAAAAAAAAAAAAAAAAAAAAAAAAAATAGGTACAGGTGTTTCTACCTTTCTCTCTAGAGATTCTGAAAATGTTTTCCTAGCGCTGTGTTATACTATTCTTTTAGATTGCAGGATAAAAATACTTCAAAAAGCTTCTTACAAAACTTTCATCTTTGGTGGCAGTTTTAAAAGTCCTGGAAATAAGTTTTGCAATTGCAACGCAGCCGTTACTGAACATTGGTTTCTAAACAAAACAGAAAAATGTTCACTTGGCAATTTCCCCTGGGAAAACACTTTTCATCTCAAAGAGTACCTTGTCATTGGGCTCATGGTCTGCAATAGCTCCTTGGATATAATACACAAGAGAATCAATCAAGCCCTCACATTCTCTCATCTTCTTCCTTCCTTCTGGGCCAGCAGAGCTCATGTTTCTGTGCAGGAAAGAGTATGTTGGGGAGAGCAGATTTAGTCAAAGGTATTTTCTTGTGTTCCTCTGACAAACTTTTCCAGCTAAATCTTAAAGATACTGAAGTTCAGGTTGACTGCTTCTTTTCTTCAGAGGCATAAGACAATCTGAGCCTCTTCTAGATAAAACTTTCACTCCCAGACAGAAACAATAGTCCAGGGAAACAAACCGCCATGTTTGGATGGATAAGGTAAGATCTGACTCAAATTTTCATCTCAAAGGTGAGTCAATAATTTTTAAGCAGTCAAAAAAAAAACCCCAAAACTTTTTTTTTCCCTTATTCCATTTTCAGTTATAATTTTAATATTTAGGATGGTGAAAGTATCGGAGGAGAGATACCTGTAAAGATTTCCATGCACACAGATGTCCTTTAGAATTAATTTACTTACACCTTGATCCACAATGACCCATCAACAGGCACATGGTCTGAGATTTTTAGCAGCATCTCCACATTCACATGCAAAGACTCACTCTTTGCCTGGCTTTCAAGTAACACTGAAAAATGTTACTACTACTACAAGCTGTGCTTTGTAGTAAACCAAGTACAACTTACAAATGAATTACAAAACTGATTTTAAAACTCTTGAAAAACCAAACACATACTTTCTGCTTGAAGCTGCTTGGCTCTAAACAAGCTGCTGATTTCCATGGAACAAACAACACTTATACTTTTAAGATATAATTATTTTTACAACTCAGCAAAATCTGAATTATGGAATACCAAAATTATAAATCCAAGCCTTTTTTTTTTTGACTCCTGCGGCTGGACAAAAGACTGAACATTCAAGCTTCTTTGTTTGAAATAACATTACATATCAGCCAATGCCAATCTTAGCATCCATCAAAACAGAGAGGGACATGCTCCTTTGGATAGTTTCAGGTTGCTTATTTTGCACACTTACTTTGCCCACTAAAAATTACAATGTTTACAATTTTACTAATGACAAAGTCAGTAAGGTTTAAGCTTTCCTGTGGCTTATGACTGTAAAATGAATGTAGCATTTTATACACTGTCATTTTACTTCTATTATTTTTTTTCCCCTCTGGGAAGTACAAGTTCAGGTTACATACTAAGCACTCTAATTACAATTTTTCTTTAGGTCATGATGTTAACGATGCCTCTATTTATGAGTTAATTTATTCTCTCATGGAATTATATATCACAGAATCAATATTCAGATCCCACAACATGACCTACTATAGAAATCCCTTTGGAATTTAATTTTACCTATATATGTCACATTCAAGGCATGTCACCCTTTCCCAGGCTTATGCTGACAGAATTGTACACATTACAGCCTTCCTGGTGCATAGCAAAAATAGTTTCTGGGGCACACAGACTAAAAATACTGTCAAAGATAAGTGTGGAATTTCCCTTGCCAAAGACACGTCAGCTGATGCAGGGTTCTGTTTTGTCCCACATATTCTAAAATCCCCTCAACTTTTTACAACTGATCCTGCTGAATGCTTGTGCAAGGAGAGGCCATGCCCTGGCTTTGCTGCCAGCATGAACAGAGTAAAGAGCTTTTCTAGCTCAGGAGGCAGAAAAGAGCCCAAATTAGGGGCACTGTCCTGTTTTGCAAGGGAAATTAATTCCTGGGCTCTGTTTCATTAAGGAGCTGATGCTCATCCAGAGACAGGTATCAGTGTGTGTCTGTGTGCACACCTGCACACACATGGTTACTCATTTCTCCACCTTTCCCTGTTTCCTTAGGATGACAATGTGGACTGGGAAGGGAAGAACTCCTGCTCTCCCACTTCTTCAGACACTGCTGTAAGCACTTTACTCAAAAGAGGGTCAGAGAAGAGCATTTCAGGCAAAACCTCAGCTGACAGCTTAAATTTGTTTGCTGATTGAAGCTTGAGAAATTCCAGGAGATAAAAATATTATTAGATTGGTAAAAAAAGAGAAATATTTCTGAAAGGTGTCATAGAAATGTAAATTTAAATATATATATTTTACGAAACAATGGAGACATTTTTCTTAAGAGAATTTCAATGACTTCATCTTGGCTTCCTAAGATTTGAGGTTCCTGACAACTGAAATGCCAGCCTCTGAGCTCAGGAGCTGGATGTTACTGTAGTGGAGTTCCAGGAGGCCCTGAAACACTCAGTGCTTGCAATGTGAGGAGAAGGAAGCCTTAGGGAGATTACCACTTGTGGGGATGCTCTCCTCTGAATGACTCCGAATTTGCAATTTGGCAGCACCCAGCTATGAAAAATCCCTGAGTTTGGGCATGTTTAGCTGTGGCAATCCTGGTGACATGCTCAGATGGTGCCATTTGCTGATCTGTCTGCACGTTCATCTCATCTTGCATTTACTGCTTCTGTCCCCTCCTGCACACATGTATGGTGCAACTACATCTGTAATCAAAATAGCTCCTTGCACACAGTCTTGTGGTGAGGATCAGCTAATTTCCTGTTGGGAAATTTTATTTTGATGCAGAGTTGTGAGGTAAATACAAAGAAATTCGAGGCAGTAAAACCAAGCATGACTTTGAAGGAAACAGAATGATGATAATAAATGTTCAATTAGCAGATAAATGGCACCAAATGAAAGGGATACTCCCTCTAAGCCAACACTGAGTCATGCACTGACTGTTGGAAAAGGTTCTTGAACTGCTGTGAATGGTCCATGTAACTGATAAGAAGAAGGATTTTGCTCCTGGGACTCATTCTGCTAAAACTGGTAATGTGAATTTAATTCAATTACCAAACAGCATTTTGGGAAATTCTATTCCTTTCCTGCCATGCACAGTTCAAAAATTCATCAAGGAGGTAAAGATATCTGAGATCTACTTGGTAGCTAAATGTGCCAGGCTTCAAGCTGCTTGTTGGAAGTAGCAAAATTCCTTTCAGGAACTGGAGGAGCAGATAAACTGAAGAAGGGGCAAGAGGAGATAAGAATGGATGGAAATAAACTTAAAGGAACGGCAATGCTATGCAAGAGGCCTTGGTTCAAAGATCTATTATCATCAGTCACTTGTTTTACACTCTCTCTTAGAAGCTGCCATTGTGAGTCCAAGCTTTTCAACAGACAGGGAGAGCTTTGGCTTCACGTCTCTCCAGAGTAAATGAAAGCAGATGTTTTTGCAGCCTCCCAGGCTGCAATGATACAATTTCCTCCAAACAGAGCTTTCTACTGTCCTTGTGGGTCACTGTGTAATTCAGGAGATCAGATAGGAGCTGGGACAGACAAACTGTGAAAAATAATAATGAAAAAGGAAGGATTACTTTTATTTTACTGGGTGAGAAGAGAGAAGTTAGCTGACTATCCTGGACATAGTTGTGTAGAAAGTGTTGAAAAACTAGAATACATAGGGGCACAGGATGCTTCAGTTACAGGGCAGTTAAAAAGGAAGTCTCTTTAGGGAGGTATGGCAGCTTCAGCACTTAAATTAAATGTTTTACAGGGGAAAATGTGATAACTTATAAATTTGGGAAATTTCAGCATTGCAGAAGCTCTGGGAAAAGGTATTTCAAGATAAAAGTGGAACCAGTTCATTATAATCTTTCAAGGTGTGATACAGCCTTCTACTAAACCTTCCTTTCAGAGGAAAAGTCATGCCAGAGGTTCACTTATTTATATAGATAATATTCATGTATTCTACATGCTGCTGGGATCTCATCCTTTCAGACTTGGAGTATGGGGAAATATCTTGAAGATTTTTATCCTTTGTATTGGAATTGGAAGCAGAACTTTTATGTGTAGGACTTTCAGGCCAATAGAAGGTGCCTTTACCGTTAAAATCCTACAGGACTTATCTACAAATGTATGTAACACTCCTTTAGATACTTTAATAAACCAATTTTACTTGTTCAGCTTATTGTCAGTCAACCAGTGTAGTCTGTTGATCTGCCTTATTCTGTGGGTCCAAGCAGAGTGCATTTTATAATATTTCACAACCAAACAACACTATTACTTATTTTAACTGACAGTGCAGAATTCCGTGGTTTGCACAGCTTCTTTTTACTACATGAAGCTTGTGACCCATGGTTTCTGTAAAGCTTTGCTTCTCACAGGGTTTTAAGACAAAATGCAGACCTACAGAATGGGATTAACAAATCCTTCTAACATCAGACTTCCTTATCAGTGAGTGCATGCGCCGACACAGGCGCCGCGATTCAGGACCCCACAATACTTCTGGCAATAACTGGGGACTGGTCTGGTCATGCACTCATTCCAGTGCTTGGAAGTACCTGCAATATTATCTGTTAGATGTGGATTCACTTCTCCTGTTGCTGTTTTCTGAAAGAGGATGAAGGAAGCTTTGATTTATCATCTGGTAATGGTGTGATGCAGTGCATATACCCCCACCAGATGCTAGGGTTGGGTTTGGGCTGTGTTTGTCCCTTTCAGTCAACAGTTGTGTGGAAATTTTTGAAAAGAAGTTCTGGCATTCCCCCGTAACTAAGTACAGTACTATGCATAATATTACGTATTGTACTTCAAAGTACTATTTTTACCCTCTAATAGAAGCTGCAGGCTATAGACTTTATCAACACACCAAACAAACACATTTGCATCACAAAAGGGAAGACTAATTACAGATTTATATTCTGGCAAATAAGTAGACTCTTTAAACATATTCACAAGTAACATCATTCCCTCAGTTCACACTTCCCTTACTCTGTGGCGTGCTCTTCTTTTTATTGATGCAGAGATTTTCTGTTTCCCTAATACATAAGGAATACATCTAGTGACCTAATCTTGGAGGTGAGTCAATTTCCAGACAAGAGATGCAAACTGATTAATCTTAAAGATCTCAGCTATTTAGCCTGTACAAATAGGTAAGCCTCATTAAAAACTGTTCTGTGCTAGAAAGTATGTGGCAATCCTGCAGATCATCCTTACCTGGGAGTTTTTAAGCCCTTCTTTTTCTATTTCTAATTTTCAGTGTTGAATCTCATAATGAGAAGAATTAGAATGTGGATATCATATTTTTAAAACAGGTAATGTATCCTTAAGCACCCACATAAGGGTAGTTTTAGAGACTTTTAATTAAGGCTGGAGAGCTCACAGCAATTCTGGAGCACTGACTTTGTGTCCAGAGTAAGGCTAGCCCAGGAATCCACTTTCATTTAAAAGAACTCCGGTGCTGTTACACCTTATTTGTCACATAACAACTTGTGTCAATCTGCTGAAACAAGCTCAGGAAGAGCAACACCAAGCTAAACCTGAGAATGATCTGTGCCCCCACTGGCTGCTTCATGGGGAAGAGACAGTTTGAGTCCAAACACCAAGAGAGGAGCAGCCATACTGGTTTCTGCACAAATGAAGCTTGGGCTAATTATTATGAAAAAAGACAACCTCCTTCATTTCCTAGACAGCAGCACTAAGTGTTGGCTAGAGAGGTTTTATTATGGGTGGTTAATGTTTCTTTGTATTTGTTTTTGAGTCATCAGAGTAAATAAAATTTAATTATTACTTAGAGATGAAGTTAATTAGCAGTTAGTGGTCTGACAGGGGTTTCTGCAGAAAAAGGTATATTGCTGTTGAGTATTTTGTGTAGCTTACAATCCATTTGTCTTCTGAAACCACAGGAGTCAGCTACAGAGCTGCTGTAGAGGCAGTAACAATGCCATACACCTACAACTACTCTGTACAGGACAGGTCAGCACAGCAGGTATGTCTGAGGCAAAATGGGCACCCTTCCAGCCTCCACATTCCAAACTTAATTCCTTGTATTCTACTAGGAGTTTAAACCTCAGGTCATGCCTTTGCAGTTGTACATTACTCCTTAGGAAGTTCAAATTATGTCCTTTTGTGCATTTTTAGATGTGTAAACTTACTTAATGTGCAATGAATTTGAACTCACAAAGGGCCCCAAATGTATAGATTGTTAAAGATGTTTTCATTGGAGACGTGATTTTTATACTTCAGCCATTTATGGGTGTGTTCTCTGGGGCCTTTGGTGTTTGTCTATAGTAACTGCTACTGTGCCCATGAGTCTATTAGCAGATTGCAGTACTAAATACACAACTATAAATCTATTCCTCCACCCCATGGCTGCAACTTGCTTGACCTTGTGCAAAAGGCTGGACAGGGCTTAGTCTGGCTTAAAAAATGGCTGTCCCACAATTTAAGTTGAATCACTTTCTAATCAGCTAAGGCACAGATTATGGTATGTTCAAATAAGCATCTTTGGTAGCAGCTGGAAGCAGAAAACATTTATGTGCTTGTAGGTACCATGTCCCCTTTCTAAGTCATCTGTTTGCATGAGAAGTGATTGTGGATTGAAATGAGCTCTGTGTATTTATCCAGAAATAATTGTGTCCCTTGTTTTGTCATCACTATTGCTTTGGGTAGTTGTGTGGAGTGCTCACCTCAGGCATCCTGTGGCATTGTAGAAGATATCAGGGTCAGATAGAGCACTTGATTTTGGGTAATCTCTGTCTGGCCAGCCTGAGTAGGGGATGAGGACAGCATCAGTCAGCGTCTGCAGGGCTTCTCTAATCAACAGGTGCTTCAGCTGGTCATTGGAGGACAGATTCCACAGCAAACCTGGAATAGCCACAATAAAATCAGAGAGGAAAAAGACTCCTCTGCACTTTGAGACTCAATCGCACACCCCTTTGTTGCAGTGTCTGTCTCTCAGGAACAGGGGCATTCTACACCTCTTGATGTTAATGAGTGAAGAGCCAGCCTGGCACTGATAATCTGAAGACAAGCAAAAGGGATTGGTAAATGCTCACCAGCCCTGATCCAGGGACATGGAAACAGGGCAAAAAAGGGGGCACAGTTACCCTTGTGGATAAAGTAAAATCTCTACATAGTCAATCTAATGCCCAGCCAAGAAGTGCAGCTTTCCATGGCTCTGCATTGTCCATCTGCTGCAATCACCTTCTCTGTTAGCAAAGCAAGCTAAGGGAAAACAAACTCACAAAAGGGATAGAAGGGAGGTGCAGAGAGTTTACAGATCTGCTTGAAGACAGGAAATGCCCATTGCCAAGTTTCTCTAACACTTGATAGCAAAATTTCTCATAAGAGGGAAAGCTGTTAACACTGGTTGGCTGCTACTGTCCAGACATTAGTCACTAAACAAATCATTAAGTAATGCTAGAAACCTTGTTTACTCATGATCTCCAAACCAAATTTCAAATATAATCTTGTAGAATTTAACATTATGTTCTATTACAACAGACAACAATTCTTTTTAAAGTACTCTTCCCTTGCAAAACAACACCTATTTCTGCTTCTCACTACAAAGACATTCATTGTTCCTCCAGCTTGCTGCTCTACGCTTCACAGACTTCCTCCTCCACACACTGGCAGAGTATTACTGAATGCTCCTTTCATCAGCTCACAACATGAACAGAAAAATGTTTATTTTGTATCTCCTTGCACTTTGAATTTTATTTCAGGTATTGTGAGCAACAGTAAAATCAAAACAAAAGCCAGCCAGAAGCAGCCCAGTCCTTCTGGGATCAGCTCCTTAGCCTCTGAATCAGGGGATAAAAGGAAGAATGTACTTTTCTGAAGTACAGGTAAGGCTTACAGGAAAACAGACAAGCAGTCCAAAGGGCATTGGTAAGCAAAGCAGGTTAATACAGAAGGGAACAAATGCAAGGAATGGCACAAGGACAGAATATACTTAAAAAGAACAAATAAATTTGGAATTACAGGCAGATACTTAGAATTGCCAGAAGAGAATTTGAGATAGTTCTCTCACTGTACATTTTCCGACAAAAACCCTACCTTTACCCACAGGCACTGTGTCTCTGGGCTCAGAAGGATTCTCTCTGTGGTATTCTGGGTGTGGGTGAATTTATGCACATTAGGCAATGTCTTAGGAGTGGATTGTTTCCTTGCACCTATGCTATATTCTTAGGAGCATAGTTTTCCCTTAGGTGGTTATTTAGAAAAATGGGTGGGATCTGCTTTTAAATTTACATTTCTTTTAATGACAGTTCTGCTTGTGCTGTAATCTTCCCTGCAGGAAAAATTTTCTTTAATTTCTTTTATTTATGCTGCATGATAATAAGATCAGGAGGTTAGCTGCTCCCTGGAGGCTCATCTGGCTTACCTTTAAAAGCTAAAATCTTGTGGTTCTTTCATGCCACAGCCATTTTATTTTCTGTTTCTCAGTATGCTCTCCAAATACTATAAAACTCCAATTCTGTCTTAGGTCCTGCAAACAAAATCGTCTCCTACAATTTAGGAGAATCTCTTTTCCTAAGAGATTTCTAAGTAGTGTGTAAGCCAAAGAAAGGCCAGAGCCTCTGTTTACTTTATCTGTATCAATGCTTTTGTGAAGCCAGCAAATTCAGTCAAATTCAGTGATCTTGGGCAGGTTTGATTCCCCCTGGGAAGAGATCATATGAGCACAGAAATTGCAGAGAAACTGGGCAGCTCTTTTCTGCAGGGGGCATTGGGCAGACTGGCCCACAGCAGCTTTCAAACCCCTGTCACCAGCACAAAGCTGCTTTGGTGGAACAGTTGTTTGGTGTTTTTTATGTTCACAGACTGTGAGGCAGCCACAGCACGTGCTGTAATCAGCATTTATCTCCACACACTTTGGTTCCTCTCAGTGTTTTCACAGCACAATAGCAGGCACAGTGCAGGACTGGGTTTGCTCTGTGTTCCTAAGCCTGGGTCTTAAAGAAAATACAGGCCATCAAAGTATTCTTTGAGAACATATGATAAAATATGGATTAATGTTAGGCAAGTGCTTGTCTGTATTAACATTGATGGTCCTAATAAACCAGTGACCTTTAAAGATAAGCTTCCAAGGCTGAGATTTCCTTATCTCACATGCACACGTACTCTATTTCTGACAGGTAATGAAGTACAGTATCAGAGAACCTCTGTCTCAGAGTTCTAACTTCCTTATCTCCCAAAACTTCCTCATTTCATATACTTTTGTCAGGTGGAGTGCTTTGGTAGCATGCTTCCCACACAGCAGTAGAAACAGAAAACTTCCCTCTGCTGAGCTTAGACATCTTTATCAATTAATATTGCATGCTTTCAATCCTTGGCCAAGAGTCACTACAGTTAAATAGTATTGGTATTATAATACCTCATGCCTCAATAGTATGAGGTATTATCAGGTACCAAGATGATTTTTCTAATCTTTTATGGAGAAAGACATTTAGCTGAATATGATGCCCTACATTGGGAAGTCCCTAATTTACAGTCAAAGTAGGCAAGTAATATGTATGATGTGGAAAGACAAATGGACTTCTGGTGCTACCTGGTTTAAGACCAAATCTTTCGCATTAACCTTTTCCTGGAAGTGCACACTTCAGAGAGATTGCATGCATAAATATGATATTCCACTAGTCCTGTATGAGGTCAAAGGCAATGCAAGAGGTGAAATTCATTCATCCAGACTGCCTTTTGCTCTTGTAGGCTCCTTGCAGCTTGCTATGGACCTGGAAGAACTGTTCAAGTGATGGCAAAAAGTATGTCCTAATGGCATTTTCACTAAGGTACCCAGTGCATGTCCTCCTGGCTGAACATCTGGTCTTGAACAAATTAAGAAATACTTCTCTCTTGGTGTATTTTTAAAATTGTCTTTTGCAACTGATAGGCATGAAAGCACATCATAATATTTTGCTTTACACAAGCTACATCATCCTGCTTGGCATAAATATTTTTTTGGTGTCTTCTTTGTTTTGTGAGTAAATATTCATGGTTAGTGACAGCAGTAATTGCTGAAAGAAGATGTTCCTTTATCCATTTCCACATTGCTGAAGGGGAACACAGTAATATTCACAATATACATGTGAGTTGTCAGGCACATTCAACATTTTTGTCAGAAATTATGGAAGTGCTAGCAAGGAAAGAGCATTGGCTTTCTGGCCATTCTGCCACCACTTTCACTGCTTCCCTCACTGGTCTGTAACAGCACTGAGAGTTAAGGCATTGTACAGTAAATTACTCCGTGACCCAATTCTGCATCTGATGAGTGTGAAAAATTTTAGAACACTTTTAACGTTGCAGAGCTGCATAACTGAGCTAAAAAAAAGCCAACAATACAAAGCTTTGTTCTCCAGCTTAGGGAGCAGAGTATTTCAAATACTTTAAAGAATGCAGAATTACAGAAGGTCTCAACAAGACAGAGCTGCTTGTCAACTTCAGTATCTTTTCACGCACTGTTCTCTTAATAGATTTTGTTCCTGATGTCTTTAAAGATCACTTGAGATAAATCCTCATTCATTTATTAATGTTTTCCATTTATAAAATATAAGCCTGCTATTCCTTTGGATGATAATTAGAAAGAATGTGGGTCACAAGCAGTGGAATTCCAAGAGACACGTTATGGACACGTGGGACTGCAGGGATGAAGTAAGAATCTGGGGCAGTGGGGTTTGTGGGAATAGCACAACCACTTTCTGTCCATGGCACATGACAGCTCTGGGTGACAGTCTTCAACAAGGAACTTCCAGTAGGCACTGTCAGCACAGAGTCAAAAAATGAAGGCTGAGCTGCTGTGTAAGTAGCAGGCATTAATTATGGTCCCAGGCACCCCTAGGGAGCCTGACTTTCTTTTCTGGAATATCAAGGACTTAGAGCTTCCTGCAAGCACACTCTCTTGATCTCTGAAGAATCTTTAAGAGGGGAAGCTGCAGTTCCTTATCTCTTGTTGTTGACTGAAAGGATGGTCTCGAGTAAGGATCTGGGAATTTTACCCTCTGGGAATTGCTTAGAGTAGGTGACAATGTTTTTGTATTTAGTCACTAAACAATCATGTACCTCTCCCTTTTTACACTAATTAAAGCACTTGGTGCTTGACTGCAGAGAAAACATTACCTGTGATTTGTTTCTTAGTCTCTATGTCCCTGGTGTGCCGGAGCAGGCGGAGCAGGAGCGGGATCCCTTTCTGCTCTGACACTTCCAGTTTGTTGTCATTGTCCTCGAACACCAAGTTTCTCAGAGCACCACACGCTGCCCGCTGGATGTCCTCATTCTGAACCTCAAGGAGCTGTAAAAGTCTGGGGATGCCACCGAGTGAGAAAACCTGTGAGGAAAACAAAACACGGCAGGGAATCATCAGATGCTGTAAATAACAAACTCCCCTTTCTCCCCGCCCCAGAAAATGTCTAAATAGTTATAACGTTTAAATAGTTATAACATTTAAATAGTTACAACGTTTAAATAGTTATAGTTATGTCCATTTGCTCCTACTTTAGAGACTTGAAGCACAGATCATTAATCATTTGGACATGACTATTAACCTCTGGGCATTTGTATGACTAATGCTTAAAACCCACAACTGGGAGAGGCAACATGTTGTCATAATTAATGTCAGAGAATGATACTAAATCTCTTCTAGCTTTGCCACAGATTCGTACTCTCTGACAAGACATTCAATCACTCTGCTTCTTAGCTTCCATGTTGGTGAAATGAATATTTGAGATTTAATTCTGGAACATTTATAAACAGGTTTGGGGTTTTTTTTCCCCTCAGCAACCAGCCTGATGAAAATACAGTGTTCTTCCCAATGCATGTATTTAAATTATATTAGAAACCAATACATTATACTTAATACTTCTTAACTATGTCACACAGAGGAAAAATAGCAAAAGTAAGCATCAAAATGTAGAGCATTAACCATAGTTAGCCAGCTATCTACTGAACTACCCATATTTAGCACAGACTACTTTTCAGTGTTTAAATATTTAGAAAATGAGGTTTTGGCCCCAAATGAATGAAGAATTTAAAATATGTTATTTTACAGTAGCTGTATGGAAACAAATACTTTGTTTGAATGAGGAATCGCATACAAACTGTGATATGACACAAGCAAGCCTGACCTGACTCAGGAGTGAATTTACTCTGGAAAATGCCTTACATTAATGTGCCATTGCCAATGGTCTCCTCCAGCATTTCAAAATGCCATATGGTTTTGTGGACAAACTCACCCTTGTGAAAGACTCAGAAATCTGATACAAGTGTCTTAAACAGTCCAGAGTTTTAATGATAAAAAGAATTCAATACAACCAGCAGGTGTTGGCAACATGAAGAAATGGAATGCAACAAAGCCTTTTGTCCTTCATGGAGTAAACTACACAGCCTGGCATCCTCTCCTCTGATCTACCTGTACAAAAGGTACAGTTTCTTTATCCTGCTTTGTTGAGCTGATTTCCCCTCTGCTGAGTGATTGCAAACACTCATCAAACACCTAAATGCCAGAATAGAATAGCACAATGGAATACAGGAATATCCATGGTGAGGGCAGTGGTGCACAGAGCATGCTGAAGGCACATCAACCTGTTTTATTGCAGTAGATCAGCCCTCTTGGCACCAATACTGTAGTTGTTTGGTTTTTTTAAGTATTTCTAGAGACTTTCTGTCAGTAATTTTAAAGCATTTATAGCTCTTGTAAAAGGAGTGGTATTTCAACCTAATTTACTGAGAATTTACAACTATTGACTGGTCCTAAATTTTCATTAGTAAACAAAAGCCTCCAAAATACTGAGAAGTTCACAGAGACAGAAAAACCACTAGACCCACAAACTCAAATATCAGGGAACAATAGACAAAGGATGCAGGCTGAAAGGCTAAAAAGGGGACAGAGGACGATGCCAACATGAACAAGTCTGATGGGCACCAAACAGAAAAGCTCATTGTAGGTTATGTGGGTGGATATGTGAAACATGTGGCTTCAGGCTCCTGAACACTACTCAGCCACTTGTTTTTCTGGGAAGCTGCCCGGGAGAGGTCTGTGTAATAACCCACTTGCAAACATTCAATTCTTAAGCTCTGTCCTCCATTTGAAGTTAAGGTTGCCACCTGTGCTGTTATTTTCTCCCAAACATGACTCTGACATACCCTAAAGCAAGTCAAAAGGACAGAGAGATGTTTGGCTGTCCTGCACGGGACTCCACACACATAATTATGGAAGTAAGGCTGGGATTACTGAGCACATTACAAACCAAAGCAGGTGTAATACTGTTTTTTAATGGTTAAAATAAACGATCACCTTACACTTTATTGTACAGAACTGTTCAGCAGGAGAGACATTTGTGTTCAGTAGTGACATTTAAAGAAAAGGAAGAAGGAATATTTTGTAACAGACCCTTTCAAAAAACTTGTAAGAGGCTTAACAAGTTTCTGGTAAGGGACTTCAAAATTTGGTTAACCAAATCAATGTACTAATGCATGTGCACAGTTCCAGTGAGCCTTTAACATTTTTCCTAATCCATCTACATTTTAAACACATTTGTGCAGCCCTAACAAACCCTGAAGCTTGGATAAGTTTGTACTGTACTCAGAATTTTCTTTCTTGGGATATTTCTGCATTCAAGTCAAAAATGGGAGACAGGAGCAACTATGCTGGCAAAAAGTTCTGACTCCATGATTTATAAAGGCTGAAAGAATTAAGTTTGTTCAGCTAAAAAAGGGCAAACTGAGTGGGTATGCACTGAGTGGGTTCAAAAGAATTTGCAGCAAAACACATATATATGCATTTTAGGGAAAATATCTAACATCAGTATCCTATAAGGTTACTCGGACTGCCTTCTTCCTTTTCTTGTTGGCACGCAGTGCCATAAAGTATAGAATCTTATTTTCTCTGCCTGATTGTAACTGGCAAAATAATAATTACTTACTTTTCTCCTGGCATCTGCTTTTTGGAAGCACTCATGCTGTATGAAAGTCACTGCAGCAAGGATCCTGGGGGTGGACTGTGTATTTTCACTCTTCAGAATGTTCACTGCACGCTCCAGGGTCATCTCCACTTCTGGGCTCCTTAAAAGTATAGACAGAGAGATCTAGTGAAGAAAGACTGCAGAAAAATTATCAGTCTTGTAAAACTAGGATTTTGGTGTTTTTCATGTAACTCTAGTTTTTCTTAGATTTTTTTTTTCCTTTCCAGTAGCAGAAAATGACTTTAAGAGATACTGACATTTAGGGGGAAGAGAAGGTCATAAATAGAAGTGTGGTTCTTGAGAAAGCAACTCATGCTTGAAGTTAGAATAACAAAATGGAAATATCAGTTTCTGTCAGTGTTTCCATCCAGTGGAAGAATGAAGAATGTGAAAGGAAGGATGAAGAAGTGGGTGAGAATCAAAAGAAAGCCATAACCATGTCAGAGTGACTATTACTGGCCATGATGTTTTCCTCACTAGTGTGAGGATTGTTTTTTTATATTTGTCTTTATGCCTTTCATCAGTGTCTTAGTTCCCAGATTACATATATGCAGGATTCAGAACCTCCTTTTCTTCAAAAAAGGAAGTTGTTGCTATTTGAAATAGATGGGCAAAGCTATTTTTCAGGTGGGAAAAATAAGAATACCACCAATTAAACTGAGTATGGAGACATCCTGTGGTAGAGAGCATCAAAAATATGTGCCACCACTTCCCTGTCAAAAACTTCCAGAATGTTTTCTTAAATGATGATTGTGTTAGACAACCATATTAAAAAAATAGAAAGAGAGGTCACCAAACACATTTTTTTCCCCAGTAAATGGAACATAAAACAATTATTGGCACAATCAGGTGCATTAGCTCTGGGACAGGTGGTTATGCTCCCGAGACTTTTTATTTACTTTTGGTTTCAAATATGCTGCACCCAGATAAAAAAATGGGGAGAGAAAAGTTGAAAAGATTTTTTTTTTAAATCCAGATAATTTTGTAGTAGCAGCTGTGCCACCAGCCAGAAATGGATGAGAGGGCAGTCTGTGACTTGTGAAACAAGCAGTAATTGGCAATAACTCCCTACTGCAGAGCTACCAGAATTGGAATGGTTTATTTGATAATCATCTCAGCAAATGAATCTGTAGTTAGACATTTTAACTCAATTGCCTTTTACATTAAAATTAATACCAGGGAAATATATTAACTAAAGTCAAAGATTTAATTATTTTTCTTTAAACTAAGCAGAAATATTATATAATAATTAACAATGCTCAGAAAAGGGGAATTTGGAAAATTACCCAGATCATATTCCTTCTTTTTACTCTGTACTGGAACTGAAAAACCGCCTTTTCAAACTTTGGTTTTAGTTTCAAGTCTTAAATCAGCAAAGGTTTTGAGACCATGTTATAAGCCTGCATATAATGACCATGTCTACCTGTTGGACACAGCAATAATTTTGGAGTGTTGTGACCAAATTCAGTCACTTTCTGTGAGCAGCAGACATCTCTGATGTACTAAATTGTGGCATTTCACTGCCCAGCAGCTGAAGAGGAATAGAACCACAGACTTCCCATGGTCCTGGCTGATGCATGAGCTGATCCCTCAGGGCACACCAGAGAGTTTATGTGGGAACTCAACCTCAGGATGCCAAGGGTGGCCCAGAGGAGTGAAAGTCCACCAGGAGCCACTGCCAGGCTGAGCTGGACATGTGGACAGGCAGACAGAGCATTTCTAGGTGCTGGGGCTGTAGCTGTGCCCTGACACTGGCAGCAGCTCCCCAGAAGTTATCCCTTCATGCAGCAGGCAGAGGATTTCGCTCCTGTTGTGCACTGCTATACTTGGGTTGCTCTCCATTAGATAAAAATAACATTCCCTAACGTTTTATCTGGCAGCAGTAAGGGATGCAATACCATCTCTGACCTGCAATGGTATTCACAAAGCTGCAGCACCCTAAATCTTGTAAAAACAGAATTTGATGCAAAGATTCCGTTCCCACCCTTAAAGTATTTACAGGCAAACTTAATTAGCCCTGGGCTGACTGGCATGTAAAGAGGCACCAAACAAATGGTCAGCCAGACAGAGGTTGTTAAACAGAACAATGATTTGACAGATTCTGACTTCAGCTTAATTGCCAAAGCATACCACTTTTGAGACAAATTCATTTTGTGGCAGCTTTCAGCACATTTAGAGGTCAGATTCTGCAAGCAGCCATTTCTCAGACAGCTTCAGGTTGAGCCTCTCTCTTTTCTTAATCACAAGGATGCTTTTAACTGATTCACTTCACCAGAAGATACAGAGATAGCATCTCTGTACTCTGACTTTTTCTACTTTGCTTTCATAGCATGAGCTAATCCTTTTACAGGAAGTTTGGAAATGCTTTTGTGATACATTTCAAATACTGTACACAGCTGGTCCACTACCTCTCTTTAACCTTAAACAACTATTTTTCATTCTCTTAATTCATGTGGAAAGACTTAAATGGTGGCTTGTTTTAAAAAAAAAAAAAGTACAGATTTCTGGAAAAATTAAATTACTCCAAAAACAAGCTTATTTTTTTTTCTCCTTTACATTACTAAGGGGGCAATATGTCAGATAAATGCAACCTTCAAATAAGAGAATAACAAGAAAACTGAGAGTGTCTACAAACTCCTTGAACTGAGAGAACTTCTGGCAAATGCTGAACCTAAAAGCTGGCAGTTAAGGAATTATGCCATCACAAAGATTTCCAGCAGATCATCAGTCTTCCACCTGAGTTAACATGGTCACATTAAAGCCACTTGTACCATGATTCAAGACTGATTTTTCTGTCTGCAGGTATTAACATACTTTGGTTCCTGCTTGTACAGACAGACAACCAGACTCCAGTGTCTGCACCTGCAAGAGAAAAGCCAAAATTGCTCCTACATGTAATTCAAGATAAAAATTGCTGGTTGTGGCTCAGAATGCATTCTAGGATGTGCCAGAAGTTAAGGAGATAATTAAATCAATGGGATATATGTTTTTAAATTTTCTTAATGAAAAACAAAGTCCTCCCTACTGAAAAACAAGTCCAGATACCTATTTTCAGTATTACTACTGCAAAATCTTTAGCTGTTGTGAGCTCTCACCTGGTTTTTTTCGGACTTACTAGCTGCAAAGTCTGAATACTTATAAGTCAACATAATTAATGTCAGATCTCCTAAATCTTGCATCACCCAGAGGTGAAAAGTTAATCCAGACCAGAAGTGAGCATAATACCATATATGTTTGCAAATATAATCATAACACACAACATGTAGTTGACAACAAAAAATACCTGATCTGCACATAGCAGTGATATCAGGTGATGCCTTTTCTCACACAGCAAGAAACTCAGAAAAAGAAGAAAGATAGGTCTTCAGAAAAATGAACTTAACAGCTACACAGTTATGGGGAAAAAGCCATTTCTTAATAACACAGTTGTAAATTACACTATGATTAACTTAAACAGAAATGTTAGGATCCTTATTTGAACTATGAAACAACAACAAAAACCAGAATAAACATGCAAGTAACCATCTCCTGTATACCAAGTGGCTTGTTCTGTCCACTGAAATGCAGCAGCTCTGGAAACATTCAAAATTATTCTAAAATGAAAAGATATTCACTCCTGATGGGAAATTCAGAAATAATAATTTTTTTCTTTTGAAAATGGAACAGATTTTAAACATTCTGAAATCTTCTCTGGAAAGGAATTTTTGCTGGGGAAGTAATTTTGGGAAAAAAACCAAACAACTCTTTCCAGTATTTTAAACAATTTTCATGAACTCTGGGGGCAGATTTGGGACTTTTTGGCATGGAGCTAACAGAGTTTCAAGTAAGGATAACTCCCTCAGAACATGTAGGAACTCATGGTACTGGGAAGCTCTGGGGTCTTGGGATTCAGAGCAGTTTGCATTTGTTCTAGGGAAGGATGGTGCTGCAGAGCTAGGAAAAATTTCTGCCCATGTTTTTCCTGAAGTTTGTAAAAACTAAGAAGTGTCCTTGAAACCATGGAGGATTTTTAACTGGAAATTGTCAATCTGCCAAAAGCTGTCCCACTGGTACATTTCTGACCTGTTCCTGTGAGAACCAGTGCTGATATCGTATGGGCTCTTGTGGGCACATTTGCCAATACAATTTTGTGTATTGTGACTTAGGCTGTAAATTACTCAGTGACTATTTAACGTCTGTTGATAAAGTTAACTCTTGGCAAAAGGGGGTCCCAAACTTCAGCAGGAGGTGTAGACCTTGCACTGTACATACATATACATTTTTTTTCTCCCCTTTCCTCTGCTGCACTGGATGTGGCTTTTTAAAAGCCAATCTACTTTCTGCCTCTTCTGCACTGATACTTCATGCATGGTGCTGGCTGCTGAGCCACAGGCTATCAGTTCACTTCCTAACAAGCACATTCCTGCTGGCTGTGAGAGCCCAGAGCCAAAGCAGGTCCTGCACTGTGCTTACCCCAGCTGAGAGCCATTGAGGGTCACTTGCTCGCTCTGCAGGAAACCATTTCTCCCTGCTGCGGCCACAGCAGCTGTCACTGGCATCCTCTTCCCATCCGTTTCTGCAGCGACGCTGGCAATGGAAGCTGGCTGGGAAGCCTCCCTCCTGCTCTGCGTGTTTCTGAAGGCGCTTTGGTAGAAGCTGGACCTTACAGACTGTCTGTTCTGAGAGAGGCGGGACGCGGTCGGGGACCTCACTTGTCCCACGGCGCTCTCCGAGGCCAGGTAGTTTTCCTTCTCCAGCAGGTTGCTCATGCTGCGGCTGCTGCCAGGCTGGGGGTACAGAGGGACAGTGGGGCTGGGGTAGGCACCATCGGGGACAGCATCAGTGACAGTCCCCAGGCGGGGCTGTCTCTTGAAGGAGCGTCCCCTGTGCACGGAGTCACGCAGGGTGTAGCCAAGGATCTCGGAGCGAGCGTATCTCGGCGGCACAGTCCCGCTGGATCTCAGCCCGTCCCCGTGCCTCACGGACAATCCGACTGAGACCCCTCCATCGTAGTGAAAGTCGTTGGACACGTAGGCCAATCTTTCTGGATTTCGCTGGGGAGAAACCTCCAGTCTCTTCAGAGGCTGCCTTTGAGCTCTCTCTTCCATCGTCCTGTAAGCAATCCTTGTCCCCCAGCCATTGGTGTACGAGGATGGGGAGGCAACCTGCTCCAGGGGGCATGAAACAACAGGAGCCACAGTCAGGTCACAGCATTTAGGATTAGCAGCAGAGAAACCAAACCAAACAAAGTAAAGGCAGAACTTCTACAGAGTGCTCTCGGAATCTCAAACAAATTAGTGAACATTGCCAAAATTGTGCATCAAATGGGATTCTGCCACACTTCTTGGTACCTCTCTCATGAAGGCAGGAAGAAGTACAGTCTAAACATCAGGAAACAAAGGCTAAGCATCCAATCTTCTATCATGAACCCAAAATAGTTGCATAAGTTAATTAAGCCAGGTAATGAACGGATTGATTATTAATGAAGATTTTTTTTCTGTTGAAACTTCTTGGGGATTAACACCAACATCTGCTACTAAAGCTAAATTCAAGGCTGTCTAATAGACAGAAGAAAATTAATCAGATATAAAAAATATTGTACTGAAGTGTCTGCATATTGATAATAACCTCATTAATATATAGTTATTTAGCACACGTGTTCATTAGTGGAAGGATCTAGTAAAAAGAGATAAATAGTCCCCTCCCTGTTTGTCTAGCCTCTTAAAAATTAAGGAGATTGTGTAACATTCCAAGAAAATTAAAGTGACCATTTTACCATCTCAATTGCTTCCCTAATTTTAGATTGCAAATTTAGATTATTTTTATTTCCTATCCTTAATGGGGACAGACTGTACTGGATCATCATCTTGCCTTACAATTTTCTCTTTTCTAAACCAAACAAATCCACTGCCATCAACCTTTCTTTGTAGAATGTATCTTCAAGATTCTTGCTTTTAGGTACTGTCTGAGGCCTCTTGATTCTTATACTTTTTTCTTGTGCTCCATATTGGACTGTATACTCCAAAGCCTTCCAGAACTAAATCAACTTGGGACAAAATCCAGTCTTGAAGTAGAGGAGTCATGGACTAGTTTTTAAAAAAATCAGTAAGCATAGGGGCATACATCCATAGAAGAAAGCTCCATATTTTCCATTTCCACATTGTGTTAAAATTTAGAAATATAAATGGCATTTTTAAGGTAAACAGAAGTTTACAGAAGCTTTTAATTAAAGAAACAGTGCTTAGCAGATAGATGCTGGACTGAATTCCCTTAATTTCACCATTAAGGAGATCCTGAGGGTGATAGTTGACTCACAAAGGAGTAAAGGTTATAGAAACTAGCAGGCTCAGGCATATATCATTGGATATATCTGTTTATTCTACAGAAGTTATGCAAGGATATCTTTATCTGTTGTTTGGGGATAATTAACGTTTTTTGTGGCTTTTCCCAGCTTATACACTTTTTTGTCTTTTCTCCCCATTCCCTGCCTGGTATACTGTATTATTTTCTAGTGATTCCTATGTTACCTCCAGTTTTCTTCTTGTTGCTGTCTTCTGGAGGGAATGAATTCAGGTCAAATATTATGGACTGCAGCACAGGTGAGAACAGAGGTTGGGAGGACATAGAGTGGAATGTGTTTAGGTAAGTGCTTCTGTCTCTCCCTATAGAGAGCCAGAGCTGCTTCACAGACTGGTCAAAAGCTGGGCTATTGCTTCTAATGACAAAATGCCTTGAGTTTTGTCTTGAGTAGTCTAAAATTAGGAAAGAATTGCCCCCTTCATACACAGTTGTTTACCAAATAAATGTTTCTGTTCTCAAGCTAAAATGCTCTCAGTTTACTAAATTGTTCATGCAGGAGCATTGTTATTGAACTGTGTTGATTTCCCAGTGGTTCCTTCAAATAGGTTCAAAACCAGTTATGAGCTGTGTCAAAAACCCTGCAGAAAACCAATTATTTATCTCAGCATTCAGGCCATGACCCCAAGAAAAGCTGGTCAAAATAACAAGAGAATTTATTATTAGATGGTTTAGAAACACCATTATATTCCAAGGACTGTCCTGCTGGAATTCTTGTTATGATAGAACAGGTTACAACAGTATTTAAAATGATAAGAAACCACTCTACCTTGTGAAAACTAAAGTATTTGTGAAATGAATGCAGTCTGTTTTCATTTGGTTTTGGATGCTTAATTCTGTTTGCCTGGGCAGCCTGGCCTCTGGCCACCCTGAGGTACAGGTGTGCTGACTGAGCTGCTGTGTGGTGGGAGGAATAAAGATCTGCCTTTGTCTTAGTGGAGTGTAAATATGATTTTTCATTTTCTACCCTGATGCCAATTCTCACAAACCCAACAGGACTATAAACAGCCCATCTATATGACTGACTTAAATTTGGATACTGTGCTCTGAAGTCATTGGAAGGAAGGGAGAACATGAAGAGATTTCATTGTAAAACCCTCATTTTCTCAATATCAGGTTTTAAGAAGAAAACAAATAAGCAAACAAACCTTATAACACCATCAAAATGCTATTATTTGTGGCAAAAAAAAATATGAATAAACTATATGTGTGATACTATTTTTATTTCTACTAATTTTCTTCTTTTCCTCACCTGGTTTGCCTGGTAATATGAGAAACTGTAGGGAGACCTTGGTGCAAAATCATTCTCAGTGATCCCCATGTTATAGACACGTTCTGGTACACTGGATGCACGGTGCAGGCTGCCTGGAACCAAAGACTAATATTAGTAAGATCTTACCAAAATGTGGCATTGTTATAGAGGATGATACACAATATTGGTAGCAGTCAGCACTGACATTTATAGAAGCTGAAAACTGAACAGGGAAATAATGGAGGGATATTTGCATTTTCCTGAGGATATAAGCAATTTTTTTTTCAGTTCCCTATGTACTTTGCTTAAGAGTTATTTTTAGCTTTTAGGAGTCCAGTGACTCGTGCATCTATGAAAAATGTTTTAGCAAAGCAAGCTGATATTTTAAATATCCCAGATAACCAGCTGATTAAGTGCTGAGAAACAGTATCACTGAACTACGAATTCTTATTTTTTCACCGTAATCACATTGAATGTACATGCAAATATATGAATGCGTGGTTTACCCTGGCTGACTATGACATGCAAAGTACACAAGAGATGAAAATATTGCAGCTGTAGATTGGAGCTGAGAAACACAGGTTGATGTCTGTATCTGTTCCTGTGCACCCTAGAGATGCAGATTTCACCATGCACAGTTGCAAACACACAGCACACTCTGAGTATAGACACTTTGAGTATAGACTCTATTTCACAGCTGTCTGCCTCAGTTGCTGCTGTTTCTTCCCCCTTAGGTGCTAATTTAATGACAATGTATTGGAGCAAATATTGCTTCACTAATCTCAGTGCTCCACCCAAGCAGCACACAGTCTGTGAACAAACTCATGGTGCTCATGGTGCTGTAAATTTGGGTTGTCCAATGACAAGTTCAAATCTGCACCTGAAAGGCTTACTAATCCTACAGATAATATCAAAGATCCACATCTTATCTGGTTATCTGCTCTGTTTTTTTCCATGACCCAGCTCTGAAAATAGAGCAGCGCATTGTGGTTATTTTTTCCAGCAAAATCCCAAACAGGCCAACAAAACTTTTGGGCTGTTCCTTTTTTTCACTGATAGAGTGAATTTTCAGAATGAGTGCTTCTCTTAACGAAACTTTCAAAAGCAACTGATATGAATGAAATATTTATTTATGTTACTATGATGTTACCATGTTACTATGAGAATCTGCATATAGGAATATAATGAACATAGGTTTAAAGAGGTGAAATAGAAGTTGAAATCAAGACCTCAAATCAGTCATAAATGGGCCTACTAGGCTGAACAGGTTAACAGTGATCAATAAAGAAGTTAACTGGCCATTAATTTTCAAAATAGCAAATATTACCTGAGGTACTACAGAAAAGAAATCTAAAGAACCAATCGCTGACTTGCCCAAACTGCTGAAGACCAAATTTGTGTATTCCATAGCACAATAAAATACAATACAATATAATGGCAGACTGTGATAATTTGAGGCCTTATACAAGCAATTATTTTGCTTGTATAATCATACTTTCCAATTCTCTCATTTTGGCAGATTTAAACATGTATGAGGTGATTTGTCAGTACACATTCACAGTAACTTCATGTCATGAGAGTGGAATGGTGCAGCTTGGTCAAACTCATTATTTGGATTGTAATCTTTCCTTCCTGACATTAGAAGGTAACCATAGTCCAAGGGTTACCTGAGCACATGAGAAAGAGGGAGGAGTAAATTGTTCTTTTATACTGCAAAAAATTCACAGAAATGTGCACCAGCATCCCAAATCTACAGATTTATATGGATGTCTTATTTGTGTCATGTAATTCCTACAGAAATGCACTATTTCAGGTGCCCAGTAAGAGTCCATCTCAGCTAAGTGCTGACTTTTTAAAGATTCACTTTCTTCATTGCTGCATATTAAAAGACTTTCATACAATAAATCATGAAATATAAATAAACATAAATTTCTGTTTCTTTATGGTTTGTATTTTTTTTTCCCTGTTTATATTCTACTAGGTGAAAAAGTATTCTCAGTTACCTACTTAGGTTATATAGGCCCTTTCAGCAAGTAATTTTTTTGTATTTCAGGTAACTCTACGCTTGTCTTTAATAAAAATAAAAATACAAAAAAGAGGGTAAGTTAAAGATAGCAAGGCCATCCATTAACTGGTTGAGGATAAACTACATATCTAATAGTTCCCTCCTTAGAAAAACAAAATACAGTCAATCAAAACTTGTACTATGCAATCCCCTTTTTTTACTCTTCAGTCTCCCTGTGAAATTATCCATCAGTAAAATTTTTCTCTTTCAGAGACAAACACATGGAGTTTTCCAACCTATATAATTTTACTTTGCAGTTATGCCTTGCTTGCTCTTATCACATCAGTAAATTATTTTGCTGGCCTTTTACCTGTAGATTTATTAGGCAGACATGAAAGGCATGTTTTTTACTGTGTGCTGGTTACTTGTGCCAAAAGTCATTGTGATAAAGGAAAAAGTGTGAAGTGCTGTGCCTTTCCAACAGTTATGAGATGCAGAATAGGTGACCTGATCAGAACTTGCCTGTGCCACTGAGGCTTCCCTCAGTTTATTTTCACCATACTACGAAAACCTTACACACCCAGTGCACTGTTTTGTTGTTTGATTTTAAAAAGCCATGAATTATTAGTTTTTAAATTTATATGATGTTCTCATTTACTGTTAGGATTAATACTCCATGAGTGTGGTTCTCAGTGTTTTAAGTCTCACAAAAGCTCTCCCCTCAGGAAGTAAGCACATGATTCAGTTACTCATCCGCAGGGGACAAACACTATTTGAGAGGCCAGAGGACACCACAGTTGATTTCCAGCAGCCAGTCAGGAAAAAATGGGTTTGCTGCAGGCCCTGCATCATGTCTGTCAACCCATAAGTGTATTTTGGACAATTCAGGCATCTCAGACAGCACCAGACACCCATGTGTGGGCAGTTGAGTGGAACTGCTTATCAGTTCCCTCTCTGCTGTCAGGATGAACTAAAACAGCTGAGGAACACCTTGGATGTGTCACTGGAGGAGCAAACTGAACCCCTCTGCTCTTCTCCACGCCTAAAATAGAAGCTGTGCAGAAGCCACCCAATATTGCAGCAGAAAATTCTGAGACCAGAAAAAATAATTCCAGTATCAGGAGGCAGCAGGCTGTACAGGTGACTGAGCAGAAATCCCATCTGTCTCCAGAGAGGCTCTTCTCAAGACCCTTTGTTCCCCTGGAGGTGACAATCCCAACACTTCCCAAGGCCTTGGAAATTTCTCCCCTATGGCTGCAGACAGACCACCCCAATGTTTGCTTTGCTTTCAGAAACAACAATGACAAGAGGCACCTCTGAGATATCTGGAAGATTAAAAAGACAATTACCTCCACTAAGGAGCTGCGTGTATCAAATCCCCCTTGAATCACATACAGGGGCAGCTCTGTGTTGTGAGTCTTCTTCAGCGCTTTTGTATTTCAATGGATACCATGAAAGCCAAATTCTGACTTTGAACCTCTCAGTGCAGTCCTCAGTGTGTACACATCAGTGTAAGAGGAACTGAGGGACTGTCACACACCCTGAGTGCCCCCTGCCAGTCAGTGCTCACTGTCCACTCCTGCTCAGGGCACCTGGCTGCTCACCTCCCCCATGGGGACCCCTCAGCGCTCCTGGACTGGCACCCTTCCATCCCTTTTCATACTTCAGCACTCAGGATGGACTGAGATGATGACTTTTAATAATGGCATATCAAAACCATCACTGAGTTCCTTCATCTCCAGATCAAAGAGCCTTCCTTTTGATTGTGCTCCTTCATCACTCTGCCAGCACATGCCTGGTCCCAGGGGAGGTTTTATAACATTTTGTGTTGGTTAGGACATTTACACAAGGGTTCAAATTTAAGAAAAAGATTTCTTCTGACTCAGGAGCAGGGGTGAGGAATGTAACAAAACCAACAAAATCTGAAAGTCAACACAGATATTTTTTATACTTCCTTATCCCAGAAAGATAGAAAATTACTATGGAACAGTTAACATGCCAGCATTCTGCAAAATAGAAAGCTAAGGACAGAAAAGTGCCCTGAGTCCCTAAAAGCAACTGCAATAAGAAAACACTAAGAATTTTTAAAATTATTAAATGTGAGGAATAAATAAGTCTCTGATTTCCACCGCCTTATATCTGATGATGTTTATTTGTAAATCATGTAAGACTGAATTCTGCTTTTATTTTTTGTTTGTTTGTTCTTTTTAATAAACACGCTCTGTTTATAAAACTTGTTAGAAAAAAAAATCAGTACACAGGCAGCAGTTCATCAGGCCATTTGGTTTTGTGTGATACAGTAGTCAATTCTGCCCTCATTTTTTACAGTCAGGATTTGATAAGGATGCCTTAAAAAGCCAATCAAAATCCAAAAGGAACAAGAGGAGAGGCAAGTGGACTCATAAACAGAATGAAGTTTAAAAAATTCCTAGAATGTATATGAAATAAAAACAGCATGTGCAACACACCACCAGTCATTAAAATCTCTGATTCCAAATGCCACTTTTACTTTGATAAGGTGGAACTACCTACCATTGCATTTCCATTCCTAAATAGCATCCAGAAATTTTATATGACTGCTTTTAGTTGTTTAAAACATTTAAGGGCAGCACAATCTGTAATTTATAAAGGCTCAGCAGTGGATAAACTGGACAAGTTGCAACTGTTATTGAGCTGCTTGAAAAGCTGTTAACAATGCTTGACAACGTCTTGAAACGAGTTGAGGACATATGTAACTTCAATCCTTTGGCAGCAGGTGGAATCCTCAAATCTGAAGATTACTGAATTTCTATTATCAGAAAGAAACACATCCTTCAAAAGGGGGAAAAGGGCATGAAACAATAAACAGTATGGGGGTAGGAGATAAAAAAATATTGTTTTCCATATAATAGTAGTGCTGAAGGCTAAGCAGACACCTCTAATTTGAAACTCTAAGGAGAAATTATGCTGGCTGACAAATTGCTTCTTGTGGCTTCAAAGTTTCAGCAGAGTATAGTCAGTAGAAAACAGGTGTGCACTGATGACACTGGGCAAGACCCTTCCTAGCACTGATTTTTCACACCCAGTGGTTATGTGCTTGGCTAATTTTTGGCATGCATGTGAACACTGTGGTTTGGTATGCACTAAGTACCTTGCTGAGCAGAGTCTGAAATACTCCTACAGACAGGACAGTTATGTCACAGGGGACTGCTCCTGCTCCCTCTAAATCTTTGTAATCCTCCCCTGAAACTGCAAACGATACAGGAACCTTGATGAATGTAGCCAGAAAAGGGCTGTAATTCACAGAAAAGGAAGATTTTGCATGTAAAAAAGGGCATAGTTGTTAAAAGTCCCCTACACACCAGAATTCAAATGTTTCTGAAAGCATGGTCCATTTTTGAGCAAGTCTGTATAGAAAGCACATTGGGGCACACATGCAAGTTTATATATATTTTTCAGGAAAGTCAACATGTTAAATGCAAGACTGGCTATGATTCACATTATATATATTAAAGATCTAGACAGATATATATGTATTATATATATGTATAAATTAATGGAATGCATGTCAGTTTTCATTATTTTTTTCTGAGTTTTACAGTGGGACTAAAAATTGTACAGCAACTTGCCCATAAAAACATGTTTGAAAGAAGAACAGTTCATTTTTGTATGGACAAGACATGTTACAGACATGGCATTTTCCACCACTTATCCTGAAGTTTAAAGGTTTTGGTGTCTCAGAAATGCTAGGGCATCAAATACTTGACCTTTAGAAAAACAAAGCAAATCAAGATAACTATCCCCAAATACATCAGGTCTGTTAATGTATTCCAGAGAAGCCAGGATGACTTGAGAGAAGGGGAACTGTTTTCATAGTGTTTTATGCATGGTTTAGAGACAAGAGCTCTGGTTCATGACACTGTATCACTGATAAACTACTGCTTTAAAAGTTTTTTGCAGGCTCCCTGCTGAGAGAAAAAGAAATTAAGCTACCCTAAGAGTTTTTAGAATCCGTATTTAAATGACAGCAGCCAAAATAAGGACTTGCATGTTTATCTGTACATTGCACACCCATTTATGTGATTTGTACAACTGATTTCTACAAGCAGAATACGTCCATTTTTGCCATGAGCTGTTTTTTAAAATAGAGGCCAGACAAAGAACAAGAAAATATTTGTTTGCCTGACTCTTAAGATAGATGTGTGAAATATGGTTATAAAGACTTCTGTCTCACAGTTTTTAGCAAGTGAAAGGTGACAGCTTCTTTAAGGACAATGAGGCAAGAGGGCACGTAGCCTGCGAGTCTGTTATGTCTTCCCACTTAAAGTTTCATGGTATATAAAGTTTTTATGAATAGTTAAGACTAAACCCCTCGAGCATTTTGCCTTTAACCCTCAGCACCTGGCAGGCACCCAGTGGGTGCCTGGCGCTGTGGTCGGGCTCTGCTTGGGGCACAAGGTGTGGCTGCACATTTCCTGACGGGTTTGGTCTTCTGGCTACAAGATCTAGGAAGCCAGGGATGATTGACGTCAATTTGTAGCACGCATGTCAAAGAACTGGGTAAATAATGTCTGATAGCATTATCGTTCTGCGCTTCCCGTTCATGCCTTTCCTAGAGTCACTTTAACAAACTTTTTTTTTTTTTTTTTTTTCATTTCATGTTTAAAAAAGGCAAAACTTTTCCTACGGTTCTTCCCATTTTACTTGGCAAACAAGAGCGGTGGGTAAAGCTAAAGGCACTAAAATGAGCGCATGGAGCGGCTGTTGGATTAGGGGAATTTCAGCTCGGTTCCCCTCCCGGGCAGCGCCGAGCCTGGAGCGGCCGCGCCACGCAGCGAGTTACGGAGGGAGGGAGAAACTTCTGACTCTTTGCGGCGGTGGCAGAAGAGTGAAAGAAGAGGCGACAGAGCCAGGATTTTGTGCCCGAGCGGTGCTCAGGCCCCAGCGCCGGGAAGCAGCGGGTCTATGGGGTCCCACCCCGGAGCCGCGTCCCGGTCCCTGCCCGCCTCCCGCCGCCACCGCAGAACATCGCGAAGCGCGGCGGGCACTCACCATTGTACAGCGAGCCCCGGCTCTTCCTGGCCAGCGTCTGCTGGACCTGCCGGTGGATCCGCAGCGCCTTCTCCTCCCCGGCGCGATCTCCCGACAGCTTCAGCCGCTCCTCGGAGGGCAGCGCCAGGCTGGAGCTGTCCAGCTCGCCCAGGATCTGCTGGCCCAGCACGGTGCGGATGTAGCCCTGCTCGGGCCCGCGGCCGGCCATGGGCACGGCCGGGCTGCGCTCGGCTCCGCGGACCTGTTGCGCCTCCGCCGCTCCCCGGGGCCGGGGCCGCGCCGCGCCCCGCCCGCCGCACAGGTGCCAGGCACGGCCCCGCCGCCCGCGGGGCGGCCCCTCGCCGCTGTTCCGCTCCCCGCCTGCCCGCCGGGGGAGCGTCCGGCGGAGCTGCCCGGCACGGCACAGCCCGGCACGGCACGGCCCGGCACGGCACAGCCCGGCACAGCCCGGCCCAGCACAGCACAACCCAGCCCGGCACGGCGCAGCCCAGCCCAGCCCGGCACAGCCCGGCCCGGCACAGCACAGCCCAGCCCGGCACAGCACAGCCCAGCCCGGCACGGCACAGCCCAGCCCAGCCCGGCACAGCGCAGCCCGGCACAGCGCGGTCCGGCACAGCCCGGTCCGGCACAGCGCAGCCCGGCACAGCGCAGCCCGGCACAGCCCGGTCCGGCACAGCCCAGCCCAGCCCGGCACAGCGCAGCCCGGCACAGCCCGGTCCGGCACAGCCCAGCCCAGCCCAGCCCTCGCCAGAGGGGAGCGGTCGCCGCCTCCGGGAACCGCCGCCTGTCCCCGTCCTTCCGCCGGGGCAGTCCCGGAGAGGCTGGGGCTGAGCTCTCGGGGCCGCGATCGTGCCTTTGCGTGTTTGTGTTTGTGTCTCTGTTTTAGTGTTTGTGTGTGTTTGTGTCGCACCCGCCAGGACACCGCGTTCCCGTGGCACACGCACCAACCCCCCCCCCCAACAAATAAACGGACCCATTTTAAACATAAATATGCGCTGTCCTCATGTGCCATCCCTCATGATGCTTTGCATCACGGTGTATATAAGATAATTCGATATTCTTGCATGTTTAGATATTTTGTAGGTAAGCTTCAGCCTGGAAATAGAAGATGCTGTAAGCACGCTGGTCCGTGCTGTGATAGACCAAACTTTCAGGCGGGAGTGGTTGTAGGGCTGCTGGTTTGGGAGGTTTTCCTGCTGTCTGGGTTTTTTCCAGGCTGCTCTAAGGGATTGCAGAGAGATAAGTTACAGCCGCCTTTTCTCGTTTGGTTGTAGAGAGGTGATGAGGGAATTGCTCAATTAAAACTTGGAAAAACCTGACTGGCTCTACCCCTGTCGTGAGGGTTTTGCCCCATGAAGTACAGCCAGGGGAAGGCTGAAATTCTCACATGATCTCAGGACACAGCTTGAAGTCAGTGTTCAAACACTCTGCTCACGGTGGGGTCAAAGCAGGAGGAACAAGGGAATAGACAGTGTTTTGGGGAAAGGAAAATGCAGGCTTTAGGAAAAGAACTAGACGATCTGAGGTTGCACAATTTAAAAAAAAAAAACAAATTCCACCAAACTGCATGTAGGTATTTCAACAGAAAACCCACTGATCCTTAAAAGCAAATGCAAACTAATGTGTCTTTCAGTGTCACATATTACTATTTCAGAGACATGCTGGGACTCAAAATGAGCTATTGAAGCTTGTTTTTACCAAATTTCAGCCAGCAGTGGGGGTGCACATGGCTGGGGAGGAACTGGGGTGACCTTTGACTTTGGGTACACTCCACCATAAGAAACTGGGCACCTTCTCACAAAAATCAGGATGGGGAGGAAGAACTGGCTCCACACTTCTGAGTCCAGAATCCTTTTACCCCTGATTTTTACTCTTTGCCCGTCTTCTTTTTTTTCACTAAAAGGAGGAGGGAGCTCTGGCCCTTCTCATCAGTTGGACTGAATTAAAGTCACTGCCTTTTGCTTTATGTGGCACCCACAGGAGAGGCCATGCTAGTGATACATGAGAATAGTTTCACAGGTTGAGGGAAAATGAGTGACACACTCCTTTCCTTATAAATGGGAAAAAGTTATATATGGGAGCAGAAAGGCTGAAGATGGTGGGGCAGAGGGGGAACCAGCTGGGAAAGAGGAGCAGGAATTTGTGGAGAGGAGGAAATTGGAGGTATGTGGCAGAACTGCAGATAACAGTAGTTCTTCAGGCATAGAGCTTTTCTGTTGTGCAGTTGGATAGGACTAACTTGTACCTTAACCTGTTAATAAAGCTGTGTTCATGTAATCAGTCAGTCATACACGCTCCTGATGAATGTGGGCAGAATTGGGATGGGCAGGAAATAATTGTAACAGAAAAGTGCAAGGGTAGAAAAAAGAAAGATAGGGTAGGAAAAACAATGGGGAAGACACATCACAGCCAGAAAGGAATGTAAACTATGTCAGAAGCTATGTTAGACCCTTTTGCTGACATGCAGACAGTCACAAAAGCATTTCCAGTAAACAATAGATACTTCATTCTCAGGCAATATGAGTGAGGAGATTAGAAATAGTCTAAAAAATGTGAAACATTTCCTCCCCTCCTCCTTTTCCCTGCCCTCTTCTCCATTCCTGAACTCCAGCACAAACATGAATTCTAGAGGGCTTTTATAGTCAAAACCAATTTGGTTTAACACAAAATAATGTACCTGAAATGGATTTAATATTTAGAAAATACTCTTGCAGAGGGTCTCCTCAGATGCCACTGACGCTACAGAGTGTCAGTAGAAGTTCTTGGCACAGTGGCATCACCTCTGTTGAATTGTTATTTAGCAAGTATGTACATTTATTTGTGCTTATGAGATCCATGGCAAAAGAAATAGCAGTTTGCTCTGGGCCTTAAAATTTTTAATTAGATTTCTGAGATAGATTTCTCTCCTTGTAGCTAGGAGTGCTGACTGGAAAGTTGGGGGCAGGAGGAGAGAGGAGAAAGAAATAATTTTGCCTGCACAGCAATTCAGAAAATGCTTAGCCAAGATCTGAAATAGAAATGAATTAAGGTTTTTTCTTAGCTGAAGAAAATAAACAAATGTTATGTAACTGATTGCCCCATAAATAGCAATTCCTTGAAGTTGATTTATTTTGGATTAATATCCCATCTCAACTGAATAAAAAAAAAAGCCCCAAGTTTTTTTGAGAGGGAAATACTTCAGCAGTGCCATTTGCAGGCGGAAAACAACATAGCTGGGATTATCCCTAAAAGATTGCAACTTGTGATGCATGTTTGCTCACTAGATTTTTGAAAAAGAGAATTAATTACAATGCAAGTACTGATTAAGGGATGTGAAACACCATATAAAAACATTTGCTTTCAGCCCAGTGTCTGATGCAGTTCAAGCAGATCAGGAAACCAAATTTTTTTTTTTAATAAGACATATTCTTACCAGATGTGCTTGGCCTAAACCACAGAACCTTTCTCTACCAGAAGTTTCCCACAAGTGATATTTATATGAAAGTTGTGGCGATTTGTTCTTTCACTCTTTTTTTCCTTCCCAGTCCCACTCTCTCTGTGTTGGGACTTACGGAACCAATCAGTTTTGTGCCCTGGAAACAGATGATTTTCAGCTGCAGAAAAACGGGTGTAAGTATGAACACTGATGTGTTCATTTAAATGTGAAGCAGCATCTTAAACACACCCAGAAAGAACGTGTGTAAACCTCTAGGACCGCACAGAAAACAAAGTGCCATTGACTCAAGGTTTGGTTTCCCCCGTTTTTGTTTCGGATCCCGCGGCTGAAGGCGCTGTATCTAAGCACTGGCTAGTCAGGAATAGCAGGATTTTTTCCTACACGTGTCCCGTTCCCTCTGGTTGGATTTGCCAATGCCGCCGAGGGGAAGGGAGCCCCCTCCTGCCGGCAGGCACAGAGGAAAAGTGTTATTTTTACATTGGTAAAATGAGTGTGATAGTTCTCTCCCTGTAACAGATATTGCAATAAACGAAATAAGGGCTGTGATTGAGACTGCCTGACCTAGACAGAGTTCAAGGGAGCAGCAAATTGCCTGAGGAAAGGAAAACCACAGTCACACACACACACATGATGAAAATGATTCTCATTGAGACGTCACAAGCATTCACTCACTTCTATGGGGTGAGTGTGGGACTGCTGGTTTTGAAAATCCAGGCCACAGCCTAGAGCTGACTAAGTGACTTGAGCAATGCCATACCGAAACTGCTGTATGGCCATGAGCTTTGCTTTGTGTCTCAAGAGAGCCAAGGGCTGCAGATAACAGTGGCTCCTCAGGCTTCTGTTTTTTTATTGTGTAGTAGGGCATGACTCATCTGCATCCTGCCCTCATTAACAATGCTCTGTTCATTTCATCAGTCAGGCCTCGATTTGTTTCTCCCTGCAGCTGGAGGTGTTGGTGTCTGTCCCACCTAGAGCAGGGTGGCAGCTGCTGTTGGCCAGTGCTGTAGTCCCCAGGTAAAATGTCTGTCTGAGCCACAGTCTGAGGAGCAGCTTTGTGTGGTGTCGCTGCGACACAGTGGCAGATCCAATGGGAATGGGGCGGTGCTGCCAGAGATCTGCCAGGGAGCTTTGCTGGGGTGCATTCAACCAAGGGATGGATTTGAATGCTGTGCCCGGCACAAGTTGTGGGGTTAGATTGTACTCTGCTACAGCAGAGCAGTCTCCAAGAGAAAGTGTGGCTGCCCTCGCTTACAATGACATCTGTCCTCTGTGATGCTGTAAAAGGGTTTTGTCATAGTGAAGGAGGCAGCAGGAACAGAGGGAACTGAGATAAAATTTTTAACATGCCCGATTGTGCATAATCCCTGTGGATTTTCCCTAGATAGATCCTGGGGAAGGAATGCTTTACTTGATAGGAGGCTCCTCTGCACTGTGAGTAGGGGACAGTCTGGTTGCACAGTCCCATTGGGAAGATACTTTTCAGAGATTAAGAATGAAGGAGACAGCATTAATCTAAATTTCCCATCTCCCAGCTGATCCTTTGGATTTGGCAGGACCACTTACATGCTGTGATCTGGAGGTGGGGTGGTCAGCAAGTTCTGGGGGAAGGTGGCAAAGCCCCTGCTGTCCCAGCCAGTCAATATCTTGTGGGTAACTTTCCCCTGACTGTGCTCTTCTTGCCCAGTTTATCACAGCAGGCTCAAGGCTTGCTGGTAAAGCAGACAAAACTGAGCAGCAGGGAAATATGGGCAAAGCTGGTAATGCTGCATTTAAGCATCAATAAAGTAACAGCATGGCCCT